AAACAAAAACTTTTTTTAATTTTCATATTTGATAAGTTAAGACAAATTAACTCACTTTTCTTTTACCTATGCATTTTTTCCGTTAAGCAAGTCATGAGGAGGTTTACTCTCCTTAACCCCTCACGTAACTTGTTGCCAAAAAAACATATTTATAAAGTAAAATTTCCCCTGAATATTTGTGTCTAGTTTTATGGTCTTTTTCTCCCTTTTTTTGGTATTAAATTTCTTGAGTTTCTCCCTCTTTTTTTTTTTTTTTTTTGCATCTTTTCTTGAGTTTCTCCCTCTTTTTTTTTTTTTTTTTTGCATCTCATGGCAAGCATGCCTACAAGGAAGCCTATGTCAAATGCTCGCGTTGGTGTATATTGCTTTTGATGTTTAGTTTAATTAAGAAAAATAATGTGAAGATTTCCTTACCAGTAGTCATTACATGAGCAACTACCCTCACTGAAAGTGTGAAATCGAGACCGGTCCCTGACAACAATCTCCGTCCTGTATACATGAGAAATAGCTTTCATTGCCGAGTGACAATCTTCACATATCCTCAAGTTTTTCACAATTCTAATGCTACGCCCTGATCCCAAGCTCATCAGCCCGAATGCAACTGCCAACTTCTCACTGTGCCAGTACATCGCCTGCTCTCTATCTTCATCACTCAACTCAAATAACACATTCTTAGTATTCACAATGTATCCTCCCTTGACACTCAGCTCTCTCAACACCTCAGCCAGCTTACCCCTTATCTCATCGATTTGTGGGTGTAGTTTATCGGCAGCCAAGAATTCATGAACTACCCCATCAACCTCTATCCAACTACATCCAGGGCTGGACCCGTTGCACTCCTCCCCTATTTTCCCCCTCACTTTGGCGACCTTATCCCATTGACCAACGGATGCATACAGATTTGAGAGGAGTACATGGCCCCCACCTTGACTGCCGAGGTCCAGCCTTGCAATGTGATCTATTATATGCTCACTGAGCTGAACATTGCCATGAGTTCTACAAGCACTAAGCAAAGCCCTCCATATGACTATATCAGGCTCAATCGGCATCTTGATGACTATCGCCACTGCTTTCTCCAGCTGTCCTGCTCGGCCAAGGAGATCAATCAAGCACCCATAATGTTCGATCTGAGGCTCCAGTCTCCACATTCGAGTCATTTTATAGAATAGAGCATGGCCCTCATCCACTAACCCCGAGTGGCTACATGCATTGAGCACGCCAAGGATCGTGACGCTATCGGGCCTAATTCCTTCCTCTACCATTTGATGAAAAAGGAGCAATGCTTCATTGCCAAGCCCATGAAGTGCAAGCCCAGATATCATGCTCGTCCACGTCATCACATCCCGTGTGGAAGAATTATGAAACACTTGCTTGGCGGATTCGATTCTTCCACATTTCGAGTACATGTTGATTAAAGCAGTGGCGAGGTTGGAGCTCTTTGGCAGCAGCTTGGTCCTGTCAACGCAAGCATGAACCCATTTCCCTTGCTCCAACGCGCCAAGATGAGCGCAAGCGGATAAGACACACGCGAGTATTGCTTCGTTTGGCGCCTCCTTTGCTTCGGTCAACATACCGTTGAAAAATCGCAATGCATCCGCATACATTTCACGGTTGACATACCCCGCAATCATGACCGTCCATGAGACAGCATTCCGAGACGGCATCTCATCGAACAGTTGTCTTGCAACTCCCAGCTCCCCGCCATTCGCGTAGCCTTTGACGAGGCTGGTCCAGGAGACAACGTCCCTATCAACCATTTCATCGAACACTTTGCGCGCATGGTCCGATTTTGAGAAGACAGAGTAAAAGTAGATGAGGGAGTTGCCCACATTGAGGTCTGATCGGAGCCCGGTCTTGGCCGCCAGGGC